TTGTGGGCCTATCTTGGCAGGCTTTAGAATCCTCCTAACAGGGCTTATCAGAGAAGATTCCAATTTAAAGCAGCAAAAGTCTAGTGTCTGATATCAGCTCTAGCTTTTTTTTTTTTTTTTTTTTTTAAAGAGACACGATGTTTTACAGTGTTAACAGTTTTGAAAGGTCCTACGTTTCCAGTGAACAGAGAGCTCTTTTGTGAAAAGGACTCTGAAAAGCATTATTCAGGTGAAATGCATGAAAGGAATGGGAGTTAAACAGAGAAAAGTTTGCCATCACACAGATTGGAGGCAGCATGTGCTGACAGGTGCAATTATGACCAAATAATTGAATCTTTTAAAAGAGATTTGGTGAGATAAGGCAATAGCTGTAAACCAACATTGGAAATCTGTTCCTAATTAGAAGTCAGGGGTCCAGCTATGGTTGATACAACCAATGAAGGGATCTTAAATTACTTTACCTGCAGGATGTGGTTGCATTGTAAAATAGGGTGAAATAGCATATTGTCAGCCCAACGGACCTTAATTAGTGCCATGGTTGGAGGGAAGGTTGTGTGGTCTCCCTCAGACTCCCCCATAGCCTGGAACCTCTTAGCTTCCCCAAAGTGGTGGCCAACTCCGATTCTAAGTGCTTCTGTCTCAAAGAAACTAAAGAAAATGTAAGTTTGCAAAGTTAATAAATTGTTTTCTTAAACATTTGTTTCTTTGTTCATTGGTTAAAGTGTTTCCAGGCATTTCAGTATCCTTTGTCTACGCATGCCTTAGCCAAAGACATTGCAATAGAGAATAATATAGTGTTTATTTCAGATCATGTTCTACCAGACTGAGAAAAGATAAGAACCTTCTTCCTGGTCTTGAAATATAGGAACTTAAAGCCTTGGCCCCATGAGAAGTGAGGTTACTGTACACACTCAGTCCATACTTTGTTCAGGATCAGGGGGACAGTTCTCTCCTAGGGTCTCCCCATGGAGAAGAAACAGATGTGTGAAATACAGCACAATCATTTCTGCTTACATCAGAGCAAAGGGCATCCCTAATATTCCATTAATAATTCTGTTAGACATCTTGCTTCAGGCTTTCATTTTTAGTGAAACAATATAACTTATTCTGTTATATTGTATGATTTTTTTTTCTTCCAAATCTATAATTTCTTTTATCCTGTGTATAGTTGGATTACTTTGTCATTGTAATATTATTAAAGGTTCCTAAGTTGGCTAGTGAGTCACAGGTTTCTGATAATGACACCTTAATATAAAATTCAGGTGATAACTCCTTTTCTACCATGGAGAATTGACTCCTTAATGTCTTTGGACCTCTAGTAATTTCATTTTACCTGTGTAACTGTCAACTTTTTTTCCTTTGCTTTTACCAATAAGGGCTCCATCAGTACCTAGGTAGATGGGGGACTATCTTCTGCATCAGCCTTTTTGAAGTATTTGACAAGCTCAAAAAGTAAGTCTACTATGGCACTAAGGGTCCCCTGCTGCTGTAGCCATGACCTCCCCTATTCTCATCTCACATTATTAAGCACTTTAGCAGGGTCTGGCCCATAGTAAGCATTCACTATCATTGTTATTTTAGTTTTTTTAATCACATTTTTATTCACACAATGACTTAATATGTTTTCAGCATTTTCCTGCGGTTTGATATCTGATCTAACTTGGAATTATTGTTGCCATATCTTCTTCTGGGATCAGCAGGGTGCTTTAGAATTTACATCATTTGTTTAAATGCGGGTAGTCAGATTTTTTTTTATGGTGGGCCATTTCATCCAAATTCCAACATTGGTGCAGGCTATATGGCCTCTCAAAAAAATTGATCACAAGAGTTAATTTATAGGGTCTATTTCCAGTACAAGAGTTAGACATGTAACTAAACCAAATGTGTGTGGAAGAGTAATTAGTTTCCTATTCATCTTTCAGTCACCACCTTCCTTATTCTCCACTATCATGATGTGATTTTAGTGGAACTAAGCTTAGGCAGCTCAAAATTACATAATCACATTCAGCTTTAATTTTAAGTACTAGTTGTTTAAAACCTGCTAGGATAGTTCCCAGTGTCAGTTATGAGAAGGGTCCTATCCCTGGCTATATTTTCTTTTCTTTTTTTTTTTAAGGTACCAGGGATTGAACTCAGGGTTACTTGACCACTGAGCCACATCCCCCGCCCTATTTTGTATTTTATTTAGAGTCAGGGTCTCACTGAGTTGTTTAGTGCCTCGCTTTTGCTGAAGCTGGCTTTGAACTAGAGTTCCTCCTGCCTCAGCCTCCTGAGCCTTGGGGATTATAGGTGGCACCATCCTGCCCAGCTGGCTATGTCTTCTTATCACTTGGGGAGGAGAGAGAGAGAGAGAGAGAGAGAGAGAGAGAGAGAGAGAGAGACACTCACATCTAGTCTATCTCAGAGAGCCAGATTGAACTGGTCTTAGGTGGGGCTTAGCCATTTGGCTCCTCAAGTGATTTGGAGGGTTGAGAACTACTAAGTGGCCAGGGGAGAGATTTAGGACATACTGATTACAGTTTTATTGTGCTATCCAACTTGATTGAACTCTCCCTACAGCCTGAGCCATGCCCCTTTCTCATTCACGCCATATCTGCAAATTAAACTAGAGCAGAAAGAGCATAGCTTTGGAGTCAGAAAAATTTTAATTATAAATCTTTTCTGTGTTTCTTACAAAAAGTATGACCTTGGTAAATATTCTTAAATTTTCCAGGCATGGTGGCATATGCCTGTAATCTCAGTGGCTTGGGAGGCTGAGGCAGGAGGATCTCATGTTCAAAACCAGCCTCAGCAAAAGCGAGGTGCTAAGCAACTCAGTGAGATCCTGTCTCTAAATAAAAATACAAAATAGGGCTGGTGATGTGGCTCAGTGGGTACCCCTGAGTTCAATCCCTGGTACTTCCCTCCATCCCAAAATTCTTAAATTTGCTCAATTTTATGTTCCCCCATTGGCTAAATGGGTATAATAAAGCTTCCTTGTAAGTGAGGATTAAGTTAATAATGTGTTATAAAAATATTTAGTACTGAATCCAGTAAATAACCACTCAGTATATTCTTCTTTTTTCCTTCTCTTTTTTCTTATTTCATCAGATAAAATAGAGTCTGGGATAACACTTATATATTCCTTTCTGCTCTAAAATTCAGTAAATCTGATTCTCTGCTATAAGCAATGTGCTTGGAGAATAACCTCCGTGTATTCTTTACTATAAAATCAGATTCTGTGCAAATAAGAAGGCATACAGTTGTCAGAGGATGAATCTAGTTTCTTCCAAAGTCCTGTCCACATATTCTCACTTGGCTGCCCTTTAAACTGATGTGTTTACCAACTGTCTGGCCAATGTTGGGGATGTGGTTTGAGTTGTGGGAACATGATTCTCTGAGTAATGTCATCTGTTTTATGTGACCATCAATCTCATGCCATTTGCCACCATTTACTTGCTTCGACCATACAACCATCCAGCTGACTTTATCTATCTCATAATGGTGGTGGCACCTGGCATTAGTCCTGTAGTACCTTTTAAAGTAATATACTTCAGAGGAACACACATAAAATAAAATAAAAAAAACCTCTTTCAATTACTTCCTGGCTAATTAGTTTTTTTTTTGTCAAGAAAGTGAAATGTTGCACTATTTCCATCCATGCCAGAGTGACGATAAAATTCATTCCACTTCAGCTTGGGATGAGGGAACATTTCCTTCTTTGTGGTAATGACTCAGGTAGGCAACAGCCTTATTTTGCTGTGACACATATATCTCCCTTGCCCACGTATCTTTGCCCACGTATCCACGTATCCACATGGAAGCTGATGAAACTGAGAGATGTGTTTATTTATTATTATTACCTAGTTCAGTTACCAGTTAGAGAACTGGGAGATTCTCCCAAGCTGCTCTCTGAAGGCAGTTGCTTATATTATAGTGAGACAAATTCCCTAAGGAAATGCCACTTTGATAATGATAACATGACCCTCTGTGGTTTTCCAGTGCCTTGCAAACTATAACAGGGATGCTCACAAATTTAAGGATTAAGAGCATGAACTTAAAAATCACGACAAGCTGAATTACAATTTTGGCTTTCTTCCCAATTAAAAGAGAAAGTCACAATAAGTTTAGCTTATTTTTTTTTCTTTTTGCAGAGCTGGAGAGTGAACCCTGGGTCTTAGTCATTCTAGACCAGCACCCTACCACTGAGCTGCATCCCCATCACTAGTTTAAAAATCCTAATTGATTTTTATTCATGATTTCAGAATTGGGTGAACTCTAGAACAATAATAGGTCAAAGAATTCTAGAGCTGCAAGGTGGTCAGACATCTGTGGGCAGGAATTAGAAATGTTGGGGTTGATTAAAACTTAGCTTTTTGTTACAAGAGTGACCCCCTCAGCTAGACTTTCTGTTAGTTTATGTACTAAGTTCATTCATTACAGGGGGACTCAAGCATGGGGGTATTCTCAGACTTTAATTTATTTTAACACTATCTGTAATAGGAATCAGCAAAATTTTTGTAAAGGGTCAGTGAGTAGTTATTTTATGATTGGCAGGCTATGTGATTTCAGTTACAAGTACTCACCTCTGCAGTTGTAGTCAAAAGTAGCCACAGACAATGTATATATATATACAAAAGGGTGTGTCCATGTTCTAATAAAACTATATAAATAGACACTGTGCCAGATTTGGACTGTTGCTGTAGTTTGCCTATCCTGATCACTAGGATCTTGCACTAATTAATTACTTTAATTTTCTAAGGTTGTTTTGAGGATTAAAAGATGCAATGTATACAACAAAAAAACCATGTGCTTAGCATTGAAAATAATGGTGGCTTTTATTTAAAGTATTGTATATCATATAACTTCAGATGTCATTAAGAGTAATACATTACTGGATTTCAGAGGTATTAAAGTATGATTAGTGGTAATTAATTATAGTAACAAGATTATATTACAGATTTTATTCTTCTACCAGTGGTGGTTTAAACATGTTTTTGTAATGTTTTTTTTATTCTCAGAGACACATGCCATGAACTCTTGGGACATGTCCCACTACTTGCGGATCCTAAGTTTGCTCAATTTTCACAAGAGATAGGTCTGGCATCTTTGGGAGCATCAGACGAAGATGTTCAGAAACTAGCCACGGTGAGTTAATTTTCAACTTAAAAATCTGTCTATGTCCACTTGTAAGATGAAGGAAGCTTCAGAGTCATTGATTATGAATTATATGCAGATTTTCCTGGGTGGAGCATGGTTTTATCCTTCCTAACTTATGTTCTTTGAAAGAACAGTGAATTCTTAGTTTATTGACTGCTAAAATATTTTTATTCAACAGTTGTCTATATACAAAGAGCTAGAGAGAAAATATTTTAGGTTTGAAAGTCATTTAGTCTCTCTCACCATTACTCAGCTGAGTCACTGTGGTACAAAAGTACCACAGATAATACGTAGATGAATAAGTGTAGCTGTGTTCCAATAAAACTTTATTTACAAAAGCTGGTAGTGGGCCGATTTGGCCTATGTGCTATACTTTGTTTAATCCCGTGGAAATATGAGTAGGAGCAAAAGATATACATTTATGGTAAGTAGGAATTGTATCTGGTATTATCTCTGACTAGTTGATATGGCTATGATCAGACATGATTTGAATCAGGAGTAAGAAACTCAAGCTCAATAATTATTCTAAGTACACAACTAGAAAACGATTTAATAGATGCTATGATATCAGCAAGGTTATTCTCAATACAAACAATATAGGAAGAAAGGGTTGATGTTGGCTGAAATATGTAAGCTGTTGAAGAGCTAGAGTAGAAAGTTCATATATTGTCCTTAACCCTATTTCAAAGAGCCCAGGTAGGGGGCATGGAGGGGAGAGATTAGCCAACTCCTTTACCTACAGAGACCAGATAGCCTAGATGAGCAAAGCTACCAGAGGAAGTAAAAGGGAATCTTAGATTGTATGTATTTGGTGCAGAGACACATCAATAGCATAGATATTCTTTATTTTCCCCCAAGAAATAAATTTTCTCCTAGAGTTCTTAAAATACACAATACTTTCCGTATATTTTCTGTTTCCTACTGCTGATGAAGATACAGGAACTATGAATATTTCTGTCTTAAAAGAAAAACAACAGTGAACACATCTAAATGGTAATAACCCTTGGTGTCCACATGGAAATAGGTAGGGGGCAGTGGGGACTGAGGTAAACTGGGGGAAGCATGTCCCTCTGTATAGCTGAAAACTGGTTCTCAGCTCTCATTGATGGTTTTCAGAATGCATGCCAGGCTTTGTGTTGCCAAATTTTGAGAGACTGGCACTCTAGATTAAATTTAAGGATTTAAAAATTTTGGCTAAGAAAAAAAAATACCATAGTGATCTAAAGAATATATTTGCATACTGAATCAGGATCTTGACTTCCAACTTATAACCTCTGCTTTAGGAATTGTGTCTTTTAGTGACTTAAAATAACATTATATGTATTATCTCATAATTTCTATGATTAGGAATTTGAGAGCAGCTTATCTGAATGGTTTTGGCTCATGAAGTGGTGGTCAAGATGTTGGCTATCTGTAGTATCTGACAGTTTGGGAATCTGCTTCCAAGATGGCTCCCTGAAGCGGATATTGGGGGAGGCCTCAGCTCCTCGCCACATGGGCTTCTCCATATGCTACTTGAGCCCTTGCCTTCTTCCATAGCAAGCAATATGGGGGTGGCAGGAGAAAAAGAAGAAGGAAAAGGAGAAATAATCTGTAATATCTTTCTTGACTTGACCAAATGCTAGTCCTATTGGCCATATTCTGTTCATTAGAGGGGTGACTCATTACAGCCCACACTCAAGGGGTGAGGAATGAGATTCCGTCATTTAGTTAAAAAAGTGTCAAAGTATTTGTGGACAAAATTTAAAATGACCTATGCATCCTGTTATTTACTTCTTAAACTTCGGTTCTGGCTTTAAACTTTATGTTTAGAAGCTTTTTGGTACCTTTGAAATTTCCCTTGAAATCTTCTGGTTTCAGCTTTGATCCTCTACATCTTGAAAATAACACCCGTTAGAGTGAATATACCTTAGTCAGTGATGAGCATATTGCTTATTTGTCTGACTCTGAACAAACTGGAATTCAAATCTGCCAGGCTCTGTTGGTGTTCTCTCTCTCTCTCTCTCTCTCTCTCTCTCTCTCTCTGTGTGTGTGTGTGTGTGTGTGTGTGCGTGTGTGTATCCAGAGAAGGAGAGGACTGAGGTAGAGTTCATGGATGGATCCTAGTGAGTGCTTATGTTCCTTTTTAAAAGCAGGGACAAGAAAGCAATTTTATTGTTCTTCCTTTATATTCTCCATCAAATGAGGATTGCTTAATTCTATTATTAAAACTTATTAGAAAAGAAGATAACATGGTCCTCCTCATTTTTGAAATTCGTTACCTACATAGATAAAACTAAGAGTTTTCAGAGAGAAAGTTTATGCTGAGTCTCAAGAGGGGAGAAGAAGTCAAAAGGGAGAAGAGGGTCTGTTTCAGAGAGAAGATGATATCCCTATGGTTTGGTAGGACCGTGTTCCTTTCTGGAGGTGCTGGGGAGCATCTGTTTCCTTGCAGGAAATAGGAATAGACCCGTGACAGATGAGGGAGGATGGGGTGTCAACTGCTTGCTATCTTGCAGTGGCTTTGGCAAACAAAAACAAACAAAACAAACCTACAGAATAAGGCTCTAGATGGCAGAATAGAGACACCTAACACTAGTTTGCTCAGCCTCTGGATGGAAACCATATGACAAGTGTGTAACTCCTTGTAGAGGTGACTGTTTGTGGGTGAGCACTGGAGATTGACAGCACAGAAAATGGAACTTGGTGAAGTCCAAAGACAAGGGAGAAACAAGCAAAAGAAACAGAATACCCCAGCATCTGGCATCTCTGTCGGGGGACAGGGACTTTCCCTTCTAAGGGACTAAGGTGAAAGAAAAACAGACAGTGCAGTGCACAGGGCTGCACCCTGCAGACAAATGGAGTAAATTGGTGACCCAGTGTCTACACAGCAAGCCAGCTTTAGAGAAGAAATTCATGGTATCTGTCAGCAAACTCTGAGTGGTATAGCCTGGAGCCGTCTTGAGAAGGGTCTTATTATCAGAGACCACACTCTGGGGGGCAGAAAACTCAGCATAATCACATCTCAGGGTCCCTGTGGATACGCCTCTGCTTTGGGCCAGTGGCAGCCACAGGAGACAGTGGTGTTGTGGGGGGAACGTCTCTGACACAAACCTGCTGAGAGATTTATAATGTGGGGAACTCAGGCTGCAATGTGGAGGGGAATGGAGGGCATAGTGGTTCAGTAATCCTGGCCTCTGAGAAGTGGAGTGACACAGTTGTGTGTGGTTTTGCATGGGGCCAGGTTGGAGGGTGCTGAGATCAAAGCTAGTTGATTGCCTGGTTCCTGGATTTTCCTCTCTAGCACAGAATTTGGTGACTCAATGATTCCTCTACCCTTGGAGGCATTCTGGGGATTTGCAGGGCTTTGACATTCACAACACCCCCAGTTACAAGACTAAAATCCTCTGGAGCAGATATAGGCCTGGCACAGTCCACATTCCACATACCCTGTGGATAAAAAGGGCTTACTGTAGCTCTGACATTTGCCATGCCCCAGGGTATGCAGATTAAAACCCTCTGGAGTGGCTGGGAACGTGGCTCAGTCATAGTGTGCTTGCCTAGCGTGCATGAGACCTTAGGTTCTATTACTAGCACTGCAGAAACAAAACAAAAACCAAACAAACAGAAAATAACAGCCTCTAGAGTGAATATACCCTAGGTGTGGTCAATATTCTGCCTTAACCTGTTTGTTGAGAAACATGGGATACAGCCTACATACCACCCGAACTTCCCAATTTATTTGGCAAGAACTGAGAGGAATTACAACAAGCTGCAGTTTTGACCCTTCATTGCCCCCAACCCCTGCCATACTTCTGCTAGGAGGAATTAAACTCACCTCCAGCCACAACCCAGTTTCATCAGAAGCCTGGTGGACAATTCTATTTAAAGAAAAGGGAGACCTAAGTTCCAATTTGTCAACCTGTTTCCAGGTGGGGAAGGTAGGAGAGGCTGAGATCCAGCTCTTGGGCAGACATTCTCACAGTATTGGCAGATTGGAAGAATACAACAGTTGATGATATTACATCAAGGGAAGCCCTCAACACTGATTACAACCATGCCTTGTCAGATTGCATAGGGCTGATAAGACTGAAGGTGAATCCATAGGGGGGAGCTGTGATTCTCATGTCTCTCTCTCCTTGTGAAGTCCCTGGATCTGTGGCAATCTCCAATTAGAGAACAAGAGCTTCAGGACTTTGAACATAATTGGAGCAACCAGCATTGGAATTGTTTTCAAGGAATAAAGCCACAATCAAAAGTGCCTGTGGAAGTCCCCAACTTCTGATGGGGGGTCCTACTCTCATAATAGGAGTAACCACAGAGAGTGCATTCCACATAATCTGTTGCCTACAGCACATCTGCCTGAAATACCAGTGTCACTATAAGCTTTGTAGAGATAGTTAACATTTCTTACTCCAATACAAAATGCTCTGTGTCCAAGTATATGAATTGTAATCAAAGAAACTAGAGAGTATACTATGGAATCCAATTAGAAATAAACTAATCTTCAAGTCACACTGTCAAAAGAAGCCACATATTGTGAAGGCCACCACAAAAAAGCAGAAGCGATCTCCATCCCCATAGATGCAGAAATTCCAACATAGAAACACAAGAAATATGAAAAAACAAAATAATGTGCCACTCTTAAGGTTTGTAACTCCATAATAAGAAATTCCAAGCTTTGCGCAGTGGCAGTATCGTAGCCAATGAGGTTTATCCAAGGCGCGATTATTGCTAATTGAAAACTTTTCCCAATACCCTGCCAATGACGACTTGAAATATAGTCGTCATTGGTTAAAAAAAAAAAAAAAAGAAAAAAGAAAAAAAAGAAATTCCAAAGACATCAAGTTGCATGAAATGCTGGACAAATAATTCAAAATGATGATTTTAAGAAAGCTCATTGAAATCCAAGAAAATTCAAATAAACAGTTGAATGAATAGAGAAAGACAATACAAAAATATGAGTGAACACTTTCATAAAGATATGGAAATTAAAAAAAAACAGAACT